CGTGTCCACCAACCTGCTTCAGGGCCCTCGGGGTCGCCCTTGTCCTCGGGCTTCTGGGGCTCATCCTCGTCGTTCTTCTCCAGGTCAATGTTCTCCTCTTCCTCCTCGTCCTCGCTGCGGTTCCGCGGCGTCCATGTCATCTTGTTCTCCTTCTTGAGGCGCCGGCGCGCGTTGGCGAACCAGGTGGACACCTGCGTGAGGGTCATCTTGGTGATGATGGCCAGCATGATCTTCTCGCCCTTGGTGGGGTAGGGGTTCTTGCGGTGCTCGTTGAGCCAGGCCTTGAGCGTAGCAGTGGCGTCCCGGGTGGCGTTCTTCCGGTATGCGGGGTCCCCATATGGGTAGGACCCTAGGGGCGCAGCATAGGGGTGATACCCCAAGGAGCCCGCCATGCCGGGGGTGTGGTCGTAGGGAGACCCCTGCGGTGGAGAGTCGGAGAGAAGGTGAGTGTGGGCCAGCGTCTGCACTGCCAGCGACCGACAGCAAGCGTTCCCTACGCCCGGGGTCTATCTGTGGGCAAGGCGGGCACTCCAGGTTCCCTTGGGACAGGGCTGGCGGTTTCAAACCCGAGAGCAACCCCTCCCCCTCCTCAGAACGCAGCGGGGCCCCCAATTCCTGAGTCCAGTCCTTCGGGGACCCTTGACGCTGTCCCAGCCTCCATGCCACCCTGTAGGCCCCCGTCTGCCTGGGCACGTCAGTCCCCTGTGCACAGAGCCGGCCACTGCGGCCCGGCCGGCCCTCCGCCCACGTAGAGGCCTGAGCGACTCTGCGCCCCGCGCCCACGTTGGACGCAAGCGGGGAAACAAGGGAAGTCAAGGCTTTTTTTTTTTCCTTTTTAACCCTCAAAGAAAAGCAGACGAAAAACCGAGCCTTGCCTCGGCACTCCCACCCTCCAAAAATGCTCCCCCAAACCAGTCACGACCCAGCCGAAAAATCCCGGATGCACCGCAGCTCGGCCGACTTTTCAGAAATTTAATACCTCCAAATCGGATTGGGAAGATAGGATTACGGATTTGCAACATTTTGGAGGACTAATTAAAGGCGAGGCCAAACACATTTACATAGACTTAGCACTCTTCTGATCAGATTTCGGGTGTGTTTTTTTGGACTACTTTTCCAAAATGACAAAACCAAAAATATAAAATTTGCAGGGCAGACTGGAGCTTCTGTTTGAACCAAGTGCTGCGCTACAACTGCAGGGACCTCTCCCCCCAAAACCCTTCCCGCCAGCCCAGCTATTCGAGCAAGACGCGGCTCTCTTTTCCGAACAACTCTTGAGCCCGAGGCCCGGGCGGGCGAAGCCGAGCGAGACAATCGCCAAGTTTGCAGGGCCCGCGACGCTTGGCGGGGAGGTCGGCGGTGGCGCCTAGGCCCGTGTCCCCTGCAGCCCCCGGCCGCCCGCCCCGCGGCCCCGGCCGCCCTCGCCCGCCGCGGATCCCGCTCACTCACCACGTACGAGGAGAAGGCGGCGGCGGCGGCGGCCGCGGGGTCGGCGCCGTACTGGAGGTGCGAGTTGTAGCCCGGCGAGGGCGCCGTGAAGGCGGTGGAGCCGGCGTAGGGCGAGAACGCGGAGCCCGAAGACGAGCGGCCGAGCTCATCCGTGCGGGGCCCCGAAATGACGCTGGTGCTGTACGCCGGGCACGAGTAGAGCGCCAGCGAGGCGGACGGCTGGTACAAGTAGCCCTGCGGGTAGGACATGGCCACACACGGGCATGGGGCGCGCCGCGCCGCGGCCGCCAACCAGCCGGGCGGCGCCCTGCGCGGGCGAGCAGGAGGGCACCTGGCCTCTGGCCGCCCCGGGCCGCCGCTCCTCGGCCCGGCTCCGGGCTCCGGGCTCCGGGCTCCGGGCTCCGGCCCGCAGCGCTCCTCGCTGGCTTCCCGCGCGCCTCCGGCTGCGACCGCCGCGCCCGCTCCTCTGCGCGCCTCGCTCCCCGGGCTGGCCCTTTTTTACTGCCCTCCCTTGCTGCTTTCTCCTTTTTCCCCTCGCTCTTTGCACTGGGGGGCTCTGCTTTTGGCTTCGCAAAGGTCCTGCCAAGATGCTAAGTTGGAAATTGAGGATTCTGACGCCTTGTGAGCGCCCGAAGCTCCTCCTTCCCGGGGTGTAGTCGGTGGGAGGACTGGCAGGAGCCTCTGGGCGGCCACAGCCAACCCGGCCGCCAGGCGCGCCTCGCCCTCTCCCTCTTCCTCCCCGGCTCCCTCTCCCGCTCGCTGGCGCGCCCTCGCCCCTCCCCAGCGCCCGCCTCTCCTCCGCGGCCCCTCTCCCCCTCCCCTCTGCCTCCCTCCGCCCCTCCCGTCCCCATCTCGCCCTCTCTCTTTCTCTCAGACTCTCGAGCGCCGGCCCCAGGATGACAGTCACATCCCAGCCGCGCCGGTCTCTCCCAACTTTCCTCCCCGCTAACTCGGGCGCAGCGGCCGTCCCGACGCCCGGGCGGCGCGCCGGGGCACTAGGGGCCGAGGCCGCGGCCCGTGCGCCCGCGGGCGCTCTGCTCTCTCCCAGCCACAGCGTAAGCCGCCGAGTTTGCGGACTTCTTCTCCGGGAGGCTGGCTCCGAGTCGGTACGTCGCCGGCCCTCTCCGGCGTTTCCCCCAAGCCAGGGGCCCGACAGCGAATTGGAGATCCGGAAGGAAGGTCCCGGGAAAGCCGGGTGGATGCCCGCGCCCGAGGCGCGGGAGTCCGGGGTGACTGGCCCACTGTGCCAGCAGCAGCAGGTGGGCGAGAGGCAGGCCGCAGGCGTCTACACGTCTCCGGCTCGCCTTCCTGCCACCGGCCGCCACTGCACGGCGAGGGGGACACACTGGGGACCTGGGACTCCCGGCTGCCATGTCTCTGGAGGAGAGGCAGTGGCAGGAACTGCCAGACGGAGGAGCAGCCACACTTGAGTAGGTCTGGGGCGCCCCCGCCTCCGCCCCACGCGCCCGGCCTCCTTCTCCGGGCTTGCCGTCCGCAGCTCGCCCGGCCACGTCGGCGGTGGCGGGTGCGGGCCCCTTCCCTTTTGTGTCACCAAGTCGCCTTGCCCTTCGCGCCCAACACCGGGCCGAGCAGTGCCCGACCCGCCGCTGTCTGCGCAGCGAGGCACACACAGCCGAGTGGCGGGCAGCCGGTGCGCGCGACGGCCACACGGCGAGCACGCGACAGGCCCGCGCCCTCCTCTGCGCCCGCCGCCGCAGGAGCGCGGGCTCCGCACCGACAGGGCCCCGGGGAACCGGGCGCGGCGCGCGGCGCAGGAGCCGCAGTGTCAGGGCGGGGGGCCTTTCGCCGGGAAGCCGCGCGCAGGCGGAGCACAACCACACGCCAAGTTTCCCGCTTTGGCGGCGAGACACACTTTATTTCCCGAGCTCCAGCCCGGCTCCCACTAAGCAGCCCACCCACGCACCCCGGCACCGCTCGGCGGCGCGCCTCCGTGCACGCGCTGGCTCCGCCCCTCCCCGGGCTCCTCCCCCGACCGCTGCAGACTACATTCTCCGAGAACCTCTCGGCACGCCCAGCCCCTTCCCTCGCGCTGCCTCCCGCTCTGATTGGACGCCGGCCTCCATTGGCCCCGCCCCCTGGCGACGTGCGCCCGCTTCCCCCCCAAGTCCCGGCGCCGAGGGGGCGGGGCGGGGCTTCGGCCGCGCTATTGTCATGGAGACGGGAAGCCGGCGGCTGCGGTGGCGGCGACCGCCTGGCCGAGGTGGCCGCCAGCCCGCCAATACGAAACCGAGGCGGAGCGGCCCGGGCGGGCCGGGAGTGCGGGAGCGTGGAGCCGGCCAGTGGCGGCCTCTTCGGCGGCTCCGTCCCGGGCTCGGTGCAGGCCTGGTCGTCACGGGGAGCGCCCCGGAGCGTCTCCGCCTCGCTCTGGCGGCTCACGCCTCTCGCGGCCCCGCCGCGCCTCAGCGCCCGCCCCCGGCTCCGCCCGCCGCCGCGGCCGCCGGCGCTAACGGTCGGTAACGGCCCGCGGGCCGCCGCCGGGCTCGCGCGCCACGAGGGAGCGTCCGCGGCCCGCGCGCCCCGCCGCGGCGAGAGGTGAGCCCACCGCGCCGGTCCCGGTGCCGCCGCCGCCCGCGCTCGAGCCGCGTCCCGCCCCGCCGGGGACCGGGGACGCGGCGGCCCCGCGCGCTGTCGGGCACCCCGTGGGCGTGGGCCCCGTGCGGGTCGGAGCGGCCTCTCCTGACACCCGGGCCCTCCGTCCACGCGTGTCCCCTCCGTCGCCGCCTCGGCCCTCGCCCGGGACGACGCTTTCCGAAATGGAGCCGCGGAGGTTTGCGGCCGCGAACCCGAGTCCGTCACGCCGGCGTCCTCATCGCCTCGCCCCGCCACTGCGGCCGCCCCGCCGTGCCCGCCGTGCCCGCCCCGCCGGCCCGGTCCTGCCACCCCGTCCCCTTCGCTGTCTGTCTCGGGGCGAGGGACCGGTGAGAGTCCGGCAAGATACTGACGCGGCTAGAATTTACGGTTGTGTAGCTGTGGTTGTCAGCTCCGCTCTGCGTCAAATTTGAGCCTCATTTCTCAAGGATGTCTCTATTTTCTGCTTTATTTGCACGCTGATGGCCCTGCCGCTCGGCGGCCGGCGGCGGAGGCAGCGGGCAGACCCGCGCTGGGGGCGCGTGCGGCGGGGCGGCGGGGCGGCGGGGCAGGGCGGCGGGGCAGGGCGGCGGGGCAGGGCGGCGGGGCAGGGCGGCGGGGCGGCCGCGGCAGGGGGCGGATTTCCTCCGTTTTTATGTGAACCCTTTCTCCGGTTTTTGCTGGTAAACACGAGTTTTTGTCTTTTTATCTTGATAGTGGTGACGATGTGTCCCCCCCGTGGCCCCCTTCTTTACTTTCTGTTTACCCCCTTCTCTGTTGAGGAACCTGTTTACTTGTTAGCTGGCAGTCTCACTGGTCTCTCGTCACTGAAGCTCCTTCTACCCCAGCTGAGGTGGCATGCATCTCCCTCCATTCCCGGGTTACCGAGAAGACTCTTTCTCTTGATTTTTATTGCATTCGTATCTTTCCAAACATTTTAACTTACACTAGGGGTAGGTTTGCTCTGATTGTTTTTAACGTACGACTATTAAATATTCTCATTTTAAATATTCCTAGGGGCTGCTTGGTTTGCCATGTCCCCACGGGTCCAGTTACCCGTAACTCGTAAAATTTAAAGCTTTAAAATGAGATTCACAATTGTATTGCCAAGACGTGGCCCTAGAGCTTGCTCTTCAAGTTTTGGCAGTACAGTTGTCATTGTTTCCAGTCAAGTGCAAAAGAGGTTATTCCTGTTTATTTAGTGTAATAGCTGTTTACAGTTAAAACTTTAAAGACTCATAAAAGTAGGTCTGCTGTGTTTTAAAGTTCTCATCATTCTTGTGAGAGACACAACACCAACACCAGGAAAGGCAACAGATTGCTTCTGTCATATCGCTTTGCTGTTTTGGAGTGTGCTTAAAGGATTATGATTGATAAGGCTGTCTTGCCAGAGAATGTTGACACAGGTGTGCATCGTTATCTTAATTAAGATCCTGAGAAAATGTTGTCTATAAATGGTGACATAAGAAGGGCGGCATATTTTTGTACAGTTTGGCTTTTGGAGAATTTAATTGCACTTGAAACCCGCCTTTGAGCTTCCAGATTTTGTGAGCACTTTGGCAACAGAAGTTTTAGAGAGAAATGATAGTTTAATGTTAAGTGTTCTGGCATGTACTAATGCTACTTGTGGCTTTTTTGGCAATGCCTTCCCTGTGTTAGCTTTCTTTGTGCTTTACCTTTGTGGAATAATGGTTTCTAACTTTGAAAGGAAAGCATAACATGGAGCAGTATATTATTTATTAGTGCTCAGAATAAATCTGTCTAGGAAGGCATGATTAATGTGCAGAAACATGAATATACTAAAAAGGTAAACATGTGAGAAATTTATGCCATTTCATTTTTTGGAAAAGAAACAGTCTCCTGGGGTGTCTTGGTGATCTAAAATGATCTAAAATCTTTTTCATATCATCAGGTACCTAGCTACAAATTTTATGGAATGCCTTTTTATTTCTAGAAATAGAAGAAAACTATATATTTCTTCCAAAATAGCGTTCTGTAAATTTGAACTGATGTGTAAGTGAAGACAGTGCATTTAGCCTCTTAATAGTTTAAGGATCTGAATCATAACCTGAATGACCACTAAAATAATATTACTGCCTTTTATTCTCAATCTCGGAATATAAAAACAATGGCAAGACGGATACTGTTGATCTTATTTGCCCTTGGCTTACCCAGCACCTAATACCCTTTAACATAAGTATTGCATTGTATTTTTCACCTCTCTTTGTAGCTCATGATTTCCTGGAAGCTGGCTGTCCATCAGTGTGTATGTGTGTGAGCGTGTGTGTTTTTCTTTAATATTAAAACTCATTGTAGAAAGAGGAAATGAAAGCAGAGGGGACCTTAGGCATATGATCAGAAAAGCCAGGTGTGGCTTCACAGTTCATTCTTGACTCCAAGGATAATTAGCTGGTTAGAATTACATGGTAAACTGAAAGAAAGACTTATTTAGATTTGTTTGCTGAAACTAAAATGAGCATTAATTTGAAGATAATTGCTTTATTTATCCCTCACACCCCACTCCCATCAAAATTTTTTTTCCTCTGGCAGCTACAATCAGCGTCCTTATGCTGTTGTTCATGTTATTTTCAAATTTGATATGTTGCACTAAAAGAGGTGAAAGAGGAATATGAACCAATTACCTATCCTCCGTTTTAATGAATAATACAAGATAATTATTTAGGGAAAATTTAAATGTTCTTTAGTTGATAACACAGAAGTAAATGAAATCATGTAATTCTGAGTGAATTAAACATGTTCTTTAAAGTAGATTATGAACATAATATCATAGTTTAGAATAATGTTTTAACTTTGAAATAGTGTAGCCTGTTTTGAGTGCCAGTATCTTATTATCTTTGTATATTTCTCTTCAATTTCTATATGGTGTTGACTCCTGTAGTTTTAATATCTTTTTGGTATATTTTTGAGCTGTTTTATAGAGAATATTTTTTCTTAATAAAATAACAGCTGATGAAACTCTAAGAACATGTCAAATCTAGAAATTCTTTTTTCCTTGTTCAGTAATGACTCTGATTTGCTTTCATAGTACTACTCTGAATTATGATACCGATGACTTATTTCTGCATAAATCTGCAGTGTTTTTATAGCTATAGTATACCTAAGCACCAGTTTAGCTTTGCAAATTAACTTAGATGCTTCAGAATTGAAAACCAGTATATTCTAATGTAGTTTGAGTTTAAGTCTTTATTAGTAAGGATGCAGTTAACATTTGTTCAGGAGAAGGGAATATAATTTTCTCCTGCAGTTGTCATTTATGTAATCTAGTTTTCTGTTCTTTTCTCAAGCTAATGTTATTCCACACCTTGATACAGCTTTTATTTGTTTATTTGCCATAATATGGAGTGATACCTTGGAGAAAATTAGATATTCATATCTAATATCCCCGAAGTATTACTTGTTTTCTGTGTTTCCTTAAACAGAAGCATTTCCATTTTCTGTGCAGGTGATAAGTATGATGCTTCCATGATACATTTGGATGTTGCCAGCTAAGTTCACTTTTGCACTATGGGGTTCCTCCAGATTTTGGCTGAAATTTGTCATTGTACATCCCAGGGCCCATTTGCAAGTGAGTGTCTGCAAACAGTGTTCTTGTGTGTGGAGTAAAGCCAAAGTACCGTCAGCGTTGGTTTTACCAAAGTGTTTATATTGGGAATAGGGGCTGAGTACAGAATGTAGAGAATGTCACTTGAGGCCTTCGATTAAATTAATACATTAAACAAGGGTGCAGTAAATATAAAAATTTTTAATTCATGAAATGACAGTGAATAATTTATTTATTTGTCATTTATCATAGAATTACATTGAATAACTTCTTTAATAGTATTGTTTGATAGTAAAATTTATAAATTCAGTGCTTTTTGTAAAAATCAAGATGAAGTTTATGATATTTTATAGAAATAGAATTATTACTTAAAAGAAATTATCTGTTTATGTCAAATCATACTTTTTGATTATCTTAATTACCTAATTATTTAAAGAATAAATTTGGTGGGAATATCAGTTATAACTATCAGTCATAGTTGCCAAACTCTTTTAATGACAAAGAGTATACAGATGTACATAAAACTTGTTATTTCTCATCAAAATAGAAGAGAATGCTGCTGAGTATAGGTGGATAAGAAAAGCTATGAGAAATAATTATTTTACAGAATATTTGTGGCAGAGCAAGGAACTGGACTTAGTGATATAGAATATTAAGAAAAAAATGGTCGTATGATGAAAAATAAGATAATTTTACAGAAGGCAGCTACAGTTAGTATAGCCTCCCATAGAACAAATGTTTCTCTCTGAATAGTTTCCAAGACATTAAAGTGATTTGTAATGTCGTATAAAATCATATATAATAGTTTTTAAATAACATCCTTGTGTTCCCCTAATACTGATTGGGTCTTGTGGAAATGGGGTTTCATGTATGACTGGGAGCTGAAACATTGCAGCATGTTAGAAAACCTAACACAAATAAAAAGAAAATCTTAAGCAGTGGGCACTCTGATTCTTCGTTGCCTTTAATCTTAATTTTTTGTTTTTTTTAAACCATATATAAAGTTACTGAATTTAAAAGATAAAGGAAACCAATTTTGTTTTTTTGTCTCGTAAGGATTAATAAAGGAAAACTCTAAACTCATATGAAGATTGGTTGACTTTTACATCTGTTGTCAGCCAAATTTGTTAAGAGTCATGTCTAATATTCCTTTTATATAAAATTAGATGTATGGGGGGCTCCCCACTCTTGAAAATATGAAGAAAATATATCCTTTCAGCAGTAATAGGTTATGGTTGATTAATTGAGACGGTTGTACTAAATGTTCTCTAGTGGAAATAGCTAAAGAATATGCTTTTTGAGAAATGTATTATCCAGGAATAAAATCAATTGAAGTATTGGTAATTAAATTGTAATTCCATGAAGGAAGGAAATAGTATGAAAGATGAAGCTAACTATTGCTGTTTTTCTCTTTAAGAGTCTACAGTTCATGATGGAACTACTGTATTGGCTATTGGAAGAAGGAGATTCTGAAGATAGGGAGGTAATATAATCTCTTTTAAAAGAATATTTTTCTCTGTAATCCTGAACCTTTATTACATAAGAACTTTGTCCAGTAGATAACAAATTCTTTAAATTTGGGATATAGAAACTATCTTAATTTCTTCTGCTTAGTTTTTGAGCCCGCTTCTCCTAGGCCCATGGGCTGTGTTGGGAGAGCTGAGAAATATCATTTAGCCATACTCAGCATCCTTAAAATAGCTTCTTTCTGAGAATTAGATCTGCAAAGGTGTCCTGCACAGTTCTGGTAGCTGCCATTTTAGTTTGTGGTTGATGTGCTTGTGTTTAGCATGTTGTTTAACTGTCCTCATTTACCTCCCAGTTCTTTGTTGCTTTCATTTGGGGGGACGTGTTCTCTGCATGGTGACTTGCTGCCAGCCACAACCAAGCTCTCAGTGGAAGACCTGGTGGTTGGCAACTGGCGCCAGAGCTCTGCCAAGAAGTGAGTTGGGCCCAGCCTGGGGTGTTGTAGTGTACGGAGACTAGCAGCTCATGCACATGGGTTCTTTTCCTGGTTCAGAGGCTTAGGTCCCTTTCCATTTTTTGTGTAATCCTTTTTCCTCTTGCTAGGTTGGCTTGCTGCTTACTTTGCAGCTGTTGCAAGAATTCACATGGAATGGAGGGTTCTGTTTTATTCTGGATAATTTCTTTGATAATTTACCCGTATGCTTTTTCATTTTTCAAATCCTGATATTGGTGTTGAAGAATCAATCTCAGATTCTTGAAGAACAAATATTGGGTTCAAGACGTTATCTATCAGAAGAGATTCTGTCCTCTGATGCTATGTCGTCACACTGAATATGCAGGTTAAATTAAAAACAGAGTAAAATCCTTTTATAAAAGGATTACTTAGATACTATATCTAAGAATGTATGTACAGGCTTAAATTGTGTAATGGCATTTATATCTATTTGTTTTCCTTTTAAGAAAAGTAATATACTTTTCTAGTCATTAAAAATACCTGCCCCCTGAACTATATCTGGGGAGGAATATTAATAAAACAATGAAGGGCTTTATGGTATCTATATAATTGGGAAACTGGTAAGAAATGTGGTGGCTGAAATTGATTTCTTCCACTAAAGGAACTAGTATATATGTAAAAACAAAAACCTTCAGGAAAAGGACTTTTTAATCTTTAAGTCAAGTAGTGTTTTTGGTTAACACAACAGGAAGGGGAAATACACCAATTTCAGATTCTTTTATTCATGTCTGTGTAGAGGCTGTAAGCAGTTGAGCAAGCCATTAGAATGTAGTGAAGAAAAAAATGGTGATATCAAAGTGATTACTTGGAAAGGAGTTTACATTTGCAAAACAATTCAATCTTACAACTTTGACCAACTTCTGCTCTTCATATACTTGGATTATTATTCTGGCTTTAAATATATCAGTTTATGGTGTAACTTGTATACACAATACAAGAATATTTTAGGATTGCTATATCTTGCTGGTCATCATAAAATATGCTACATTATTACAAAGTTGAAATGTAATATTAATAGAAGGAAAATATAAAATTTAATATCTGGGCAACTGAGACTTTTAAACCTACTTTAAAAATATGATCTTGACATCTATGACACTATTTTTGTCTTTGTTATATAGACAGAATTATAGATATTCTACAATCCAGATGTCACATTTATTAATTCCAAATTTATTTTCTATAATGGACTTTTAAAATAAAAAGTATATGTGCTTTCGAGAGTAAAATTTGAGTCATGGGCTAATTTGCTAAGCATCAGAACATAGAAAAGCAGCCTTGATTAATTTAGAACTGTGAAAGGGGGCAGGTAAAACTGTTTTCAGCTGAAATTTACTAATGCAGCAACCATTTAAATTAAATGTTTGTTAACATAATAGTGATGGCATTTTCTCCTCCTCCTCCTTGTGGTTTTGTCCAACTAGATGTTACAGTGGCAGTTGCACTGACTGTTAAGTGTTTAAATGATGGCACCATTATGTGAAGTGATTTTGAAATGAGAGATTCCAGCCAAGAATTACATCTGCTCCCATCTCCTTCAAATCATACTCTCTGGCAGTACAGATTATGATTGATTTGTTTGTGACAGATTGCAGGAAACAGTCATTGATTTTTCAATATTTTACCTTAAAATTATTTACAGTTGTAACCATGGGGAGGTATTTCCATGGGCTGTCAGCCCCTGAAAGACTAGGATAATATTCCCTGCTCTCTGACAAGACAAATTACCTGTAATGAGTGCAGTAGCTGAAGGGTATACTTTTATTTTAAAATATGTCAATAACCCCAGTGACTAAACGAATATTGATTTAGCATAATGAAGCCTGAGTAATGTGAAAATGAGCTTTTTCAAGGGGCATGGTAAAGACTTTCTTTTTAGCTGGTTGTAAGAAGCTTTTGATTCTTTTCAGCTAGCTGGTAGAAATACAGTTTTATGAGCAAACCATCAGGAATGATAGCATTGTTTCTGATAACTAGGGTCCAAATATGTTGCCCTTGCCTTTAGTGATTATTTTCAAATCTTATTTTGAGTCTTACTTTTAGTCATAGAATAGTACTGATTTGTTTCATGTTCTCTTTAACTGATGTAATATTTTTATAATTCCAACATATTTTACATTGGACCGTCAGTAATGAATATTAAAATATATGTATAATTATTTATAGATGACATCATAATTATATTAAGATATTTCAAATGGGTTATTGTAGTATTTAATGTGCTGTATTTTATGGTAGAATAACTCTCAGTCTCTGGACATCAGATTGCTTTCAATGGGAATGAAGATTAATTTACTTAAGTCCTGATTTTTTAGGCATCAGTGCATGTTTTCATTTTTATCAGGCTTCTCCTCCTACTTTTTTAATGTAATTCTCAACATTTAACGGATTAAGATGCCAATACATATGATCCTTCAAATAAGAATGATACTAAGAAATTTGTACCCTTATTTTTATAGTCCATCAAGGTGTCTAGAGGTTTTTTGCCTAAGTTAGTATCTCCATATTCAACTTGGAAAGGAGAAAATAAGGCAAACAATGCTGATAATATATAGCAGAAAAATGAGTATTTAAAAAATATGTCAAACTGATATTTCATGGGGACCTAATTTATTTTATGATAACTAATAGTAATAAAATTTTATAAATATCAATAGGTGAAATCCATTTAGAAATTAAAAATGGATTATAATTTAAAGAAAATTCAGATGGCTCTTTGTGAGTGTTAGTTCTCTTATAGTATGGTACTGGAAATGTTGAAATAAAATGGAAAACATGAATATATCTTTTAATGGCAAACAAAATAGACCCTAGAACACAAAATTATAACTTTATTTTGTCCCAGGAATTTGCTTAGGGGTATGACACAGATGATCTTTGTCACTTGTCTTAGTTGTATCTAAGCAGTGAAACTGGGTGCTTTACAAAATATTTGACCTATGATTTCATAAGCTGTAGTATTTCATTCCTCCATCACGCCCTCCAAATTCTTTCCCTTTTTCTATAGAAAGACCTTTGAAATATAGAAATATGAGGGATGTACCATCATCATGTATGAAACTGATAGCTCAAATTCTTCAACCATTAACTTGGTTTATAGTTTTTTAAGTCAATGTAGTATCCATAGAATTACTTATGCCTTCCAGAAAAAAAAAATATTGATTTTTTTTCTCAATAGTTTTTTTAAATATAGCATATTTTCTTCAGATAAATCTATGCTAAGAAAAACACCTATATTGTTGTTTAGTTTATTTTGGAGTAAAATATAAATGTATTATAGTCAAATGTATTACAGTCAATACTCCTGACCCCATCATTTAGTTTGAACTTATATGTTCATTTTATAGTACATGTATAGAACTATTTGTGTGAATTAAATTTAAGAAATGTGTAGATAAAATAAAGCTTTTTATGGGGAAATTTTCCTTTTTTGGGTAGTGTGCCCTTCTCCATTTCTTTTCCCCTTGGGGAGAAAAATACCTTGTTCTCCTTTAGGGAAAAATATTCATATAAAGTATTTTTAAATAATGCAAGTCATTGCCTGGGGTTGGGTAAAACATTTGTTTTTGAAAAGGAGAATATGCTCCTGTTTTAAAAATCTTTCTTGTATTTGTATCTATTAAGATAAACAGTTTACTTTGATACGGTACATACCAATCTACTTAGTTAAATTTTTTTTGAAAATTCATTTTACTGTGTTTGGTCTGACCTTCTATGATAACTTAATATAGGAACAAATTAGCATATAATTCTATTTTCCATGTGACCTCAATCAGTTACAGAATTGTACCACCACTTTTGGGGGGCAATTTGATAGTTTATGTAGACAGTAGCATTAAGTGTTTGCAAATGTTCAGTGTATCCTAGATACGGTTATTGAAAATGTTTTAAAGTAAGCAGTTAAAGGAAACACTTCACCTCTATTACTAAGTTATTAACATGCTTCCTAAAGGTAACATTTTAAATTAGTATACATAATTGATTCATAATTTGTCTTCTTCCAAGCATAAAGCAGTATAGCAAAGTTAAGTGTGATTAGTGAAGTATAAGATATTAGGAATTGTTGGTGACAATGATCATGACAACTAAATGGATTTTTTTTTTCTTTTAGATTCAGCCATCGGTCTTGACATTTCCTGTGATCTGTTTCAATCTAGATGCAAAGGACGTGGAAAAATCAAGTGTTCAAGTGGTTTAAATGTGTTTTGGATGTTCCTATTTGCAGACTAAAATATTTTACAATTAAAATCCTCAGTTGTCATGCAGAGGATGGTTAAGTTCTTCTTGATCACCATCTTTATTGAAAATGTTCAGTATTATAGAGTATCACTGAATATTTTTTGTTTTAATCAAGGTACAGGAAAAATAAAATAAATTTTATATGTTGACTTTTTTCTAAAATGTTTTTATTGGGTTGAATAAATGTTTATACCTGAAAAAGAGGGTTAAAAATCCTTTTCTCCCTCATAGTAATTCTTCTGACAGTCAGATATTATTACACTAGGTTTAAAATCACTTTCTAATGTGACCCTATTACATTTATACGAGGAAGAAGACTTGAAAGGTATTCCTATGTATATTTTAATTCTCTGTATTAATCCTTCTGGAATAGAACGTTTTCCTCCTTGAACAAATCTATTAGCTCAATTCAGATACAAGGAAAAGTTACCTTAACTGTTAGAGCATTTGTTATGTGTTTGATTTATGGAAAGGTTGATATCCAGGTATTTCACAGAATTCCTACATTTGGGTAGCATGAGTAATGACAGATTACCTTGCCATTGGGAAATTCCTTCTGGTGGCCTTTGTAGCAGCTATAAGAAAGGGGAAGGATTCCTCTATACAGGCTGGCCTCTAGCCTCTGGTATGAACAGGGGGAGGGGAGGGGTATGTCTGGCCAGAAGCAGCCCTTAGGGAGGGTACTGAGGAGATTCACAGATGCTGATGACACTTGTAGAAATTGCTGGGAGTTATTTTGTGAGTGGTACGGTATATACTTCATCCACTTCCATAGTTTTTTACAACACATCCAGGGGCTAGGATGAATTCTTAAGCTTAGATCTCACTATAGTAATGTAAATTTATTAGGCTAGAATATTTCCTTTTTTATTTTTAATTAAACTTTGTATTTGAGATAATTATAGATTCACATGCAGTTGTACAAAATCATACAGAAAGATCCTTAAATACTTCACCCAGTTTGCCCCAACAATAACTTTTGCAATGTTGACATTGATACAGTCAACATGGAGAATGTTGCCGTCACCACATGGGGTCCTCACACTTCCCTTTTATAGTCACACCTACTTCTCTGCCATCTCACCCCTCCTTAACAGGCACTAGTATGTTCTCCATTTCTATAATTTTGGCCTTTTAAGACTTACATAAGTGGCATCATAGTATATAACCTTTGGGGATTCACTTCTTTTACTCAGCATCATTTTCTAGAGATTCAACTTGTTTGTGTCAATAGTTTGTTTTTTGTTATTGTTGAGTAGTATGCCACGGTAGGGGTATACCACAGTTTGTTTAACCATTCACTAGTTGGGACTTCAGGGTTGTTTCTGGTCTTTGACTATTATAAATAAAAGTGCTTATAAACAGTTCTGTAGAGGTTTTTGTGTGAACATAAGTTTTCATTTTCTTGGGATAAATGCCCAGGAGTAAAATTGTGGGTCATATGGTAATTACATGGAGTATTTCTTTTTAAGAGTAGAATTGATTTTGTGTCTATGGGAGGGAGAGGCAAGGAGGGCATTTACATTTCTGTAGTGTTTTTGTTTTAACTAGAGTTGTTTATGATTTTAAAACATACAAACTATCCTAACATAGCCAGATTAAAAAAAGTATTTTTTCCAGATTCTAGATTTTGTTCTTATTTTAGAGAAATGCTTTTGAAAAAACTGCTTCTTTTTTTGGTAAACAATTTCTGTGTAAAGGAATAAACATAGACACATAGACTATAGTAAAGATGTTGCAGAGCTGACAGGGAGCTCTGGGGAAATTTGGGGACAATTTTCCAAGTATTAATAGAAACTTGACATTCAGGGATGTATTGTGATTGTTTCTGAATTGATAGATTTTAATTTTTGTCACTACCATCTTGCTTGTAGTATTTGTAGAATTAACTCATTATCTTTACAATGATGTGTTCAGTGCTGTTGTAGAAAATGCTCATTTAATTCAACCATATGCACTTGGAAGGAAAAACAAAGAAATAGAAAACAAATGTCTTTTTATAGTACATGACCCCTAAAAATGCAGCTACCTTTACATGATGCTTACAAGAAGCATCATGGATGTTTGGAAGAAACATGGATGGTTGGATGAATGGAGGAAACAACTGTTTCCACCAAACCCTGGTGGAAATTATACTAAATTCCATTATACTTATAGAGACATGGTAAAGTATGTATAAAACCCATGTATATTATATTCTTGAGGAGACCAACTGAAATAATTTTCAAAGGTAATTTTTACTCTAATTTTGTATCATGTAGTCTTTAGAACCCTTACCAAAGATGTAAGTCCATCTTTGTTTTGTTTTTTAAGAAACATTGGACATAGTTAACTGGTCACAGTGATCCTTCTAATAACAGTCAATGTTATAAATCTTTAATGTATTTTGAGTGTGGTACTAGGCTCAGGAGACCCCAGTCTTTTAATACATCTAAATATGGTTTCATCTTTAGCCCATTATGGTCATGACTATAATGACATAAATAACATAAGATAATAAAATACTCTTCGCCCTTAAAAATGACCTGAGTAAAAGATAAGCTATACACATGGAATCTTTAAATACCAGTATAAGTCATTCATTCACTAAGCAGATATTGAAGCATCTCATATTCCAGAACTCCTAGGCACTGGAAAGCTAACAGTAAAGAAGAGAATGCAGCCCCTGTTCTCTTAGCATCGTTCTCATAGCTCTTAGATTGGGGTGTGAGGGTGGGAAGAAGTAAAAAGAAACTGAGGAACTAGCATGATTACACATTATTAGAAGTTCCAAACATCTAGAATTCAGGAGAACGATACTAGTAGAGCTGCAACAGCCCTCACAGAAAATGAGAGGCTTGATTTTTTTTTTTTTATTTTTAACTGACATATAATAATTGTTCATGTTTATGGGGTACAATGTGATATTTCAATACATGTATACATTGTGTAATGATCAAATCAGGGTAAATAGCTTACCCATCACCTCAAAAACATGTATTATTTCTTTGTGGTGAGAACATTCACATCCTCTCTTCTAGTTATTTTGAAATATACAATACAATATTGTTATCTGTTGTCACTCTGCTGTGCAATAGGACAACAGAACTTATTCCTCCTATCTGTCTGTAATTTTGTACTCTGTGATCAATCTCTCCTCCTCCCCTCTCTGTCCCCAGCAAGAGGCTTGAAAGTTTAAGGTGCTTATATGTGATGCCGAGAAGGAGGACATCAGATAGAGGGAAATTAACTGGAACACAATTTATTGGAAGCCAGGTGGAATCTGGTCTGGCTAGAATTTCAGAATGTGGGGCATCAAAAGGGCATAGCATTGCCCCAAAGAATATTTAACAGCTTCCTATGTTTTAGGAACTGACTAGAAATGAGGCATACTTTTTAAAAAGAGTAATATTTGAATTTAAATGTGCGGGTTTGAGTGAAAAACAAATGGATCCTCTTCATAAAACTAGGACTTGCAAGAGTTCTTTAGGTGAGGCTCAATCTGTGTGTGTGAATGTGTGTGTATAATTATACATAAAACAACATTATTTTCATCGTTTTATGTTTGATAAGGATGAATAAGATATTTTATACTTTTCTGGTATCTTAAATGCGTGATCTATAAGGCTATAATACTTTTTAAAATTTCGGTTTATCTTAGGCTTAAAATAACAAAAGAACTTAAAGCTCTCTTAAAGCTCTCTTAGAGCTCCAAAATTAAAACTGTAAGATTACATATAGATCAAAAGTTATGTAAAGAATACATCAGTAAGATTATACACAAAGTTTATGACTTCACTACAAAACTTTTGAGCAACCTAAGAAAATATTAATACAAGCATTTCTGTACATTACTTTTTTAAGGCGTATGAGGTAGTAAGGGAGCTAAGAGCCTTTTCTAAATGTGCGTCTGATTTTAGGAGGCTAAAATAGGAAGGTCTGACATGGCTGAGGCCCGTCTAATTTGAGAATTTGGAAAGTGGAAGATGTGAGTTTCTATGCGAGGTTCTTTAAATTTATCCAAATCAGATTTGATTCAGGTAATTATAAAAGACATTAAAATTAAAAGACTCAGGATTTTATATGTAATAATATTGATTCAGTATCCCCAACTATATGGCATTGCCAATAAGGAGGCCAAATCGAATTGTGTTTTATGCAAGGGCTACATTAGGCCAGCGACTTAAAAGTTCTGAGCATATATAATAACAAAGCATTTTGGAATCATCTTGTAATACTGTTTGTATAGCAGTTAAAAAAAATAAGAAAAAAAGGAAATGTTGCACTTTTAAACAGTTTTTTAAAAAATTTTACAAATACTGCAAATCATAGGTTGGTTACCACTAGACTTCCTGACTCTGCAGTGATTGCTGTATTCACTGTACATTCTTTTACAAATACCAGGCACTTTATAATTTTGTCTATAATTGTTTATATATATTTCCTCTGCAAAATCATTTTAGAATGACTTTAACCTACTTGCCATCTTTAAACTTTACATAATGAAGTTTCAGTAGACTTTTATTTTTTCCAGGAGCTTTCTTATTTAAATTACCTTTCAAACTCAATGCATAAAAATAGCAGGCCACATCCGCTTGCAGGTTTCTGAAGCTAGGATTTAAACTTACTTTTTGACTCCAAAGCAAATGCTGCTAACTCAAAGGTGCTTGTCTCAACTTCTGGAAATTTTACTTACCAGTGTGTGTTTGTTGTATCACAATCCTATTCTTAGTAATATTTTCTATACATGTCAGAAATAAATGTCTACTTGCCATTTGTATATGTCATACAAAAACATTTTGGCACCAGATATGGGTACAGGTAGCAAACATCAGTGTGTTGATCTCAGAACTGGATTTCAGCCAATAGAATATTCCATTTATTCATTGTTATTTAGCTATCTGCTGTGTTTTAACATTGTGATATATACAGGGAGTCAGATATTACCTGATTTCAACAAAGTAGGCATTGGGCTCTGGCCTAGAGCATGCAGCCTTTGTCCTTGGAGAGCCTGAAGCCTAGTGTCTTTTGTGGAGATGAAGCCATGAACAGACCACTTCAGCACAGCGTGGGAAGAGGGAAAAGCACAGGGGCCCAGTCTGACGGGTGGTGAGGGAGGTTAAGGAAGGCCTCCCAGGGGAGAGGGCACCGGGGTGAGCTCTGCTGGGAA